AAAAAAAAAAAAAAAAAAAAAAGAAAGGAACCCTCTAAAGGGAGGTCAAGGTTCCTGCCCGGGTGCAACTTGCTGAAGAAGAGGTGACTTCGGTTGATATTGGAGAGGTTGCAAAACTGGAGTTCAGGATGCTGCATGAGCAGCCTGCTGTGGTCAAAGTCTCCATAGCTGGAGGTAGAGAAGATATCTGTGTCAATGCCAAGACAAGAGGGGCCATGTTTGGAGGCCAGCATGGGTGTTCAGGGAGGCTGGAACTTACGAGGGAGGACAGAGCGATTGACTCCAGCCCCAAGACTAGCTTAGAGAAGTGAAGTACTAGCTCCCGGCATAGAACAAGCCCGGCATTTCAGAGTTTTGTTATTATTGCTATTGTTTGTAGGAAGCAATTAGATGTTCCTCCAGCAGAACTAAAAGACAGCTCTAGGCAGCGGTTGGTGCGTTCTGCGCATGGGCAGAACCCGTTATATTTTCTCCTTTCTTCCCTCTCCTTTTCTCCTTTCCGAGCCCTTTGAACAGCGTTTGAGGCCAGCCAGATCCTGTTGAAATCTCAGGGACTCACCAATCAGCTGCCTGGCCTTGGCCAAACCTGGGTGTCATCTATGAAATGGGTCGGTAGTTATATGATCATGGTGAACCCCACCAGTGCCTGGAGTCTAGGAACACCGAGTACCATAGGGTTGGTAGCTGCGCAGAGGCTGAACAGATCCAAGGGGCAGAAAGGGGCAGAGAACTGTCACCAGCTAGGGACTGGGTCTTCATGGCCCAGACTGAGGCACAGGCAGGAGAAGAGCTGGGAGCAGGGTTTCCACCCATACCAGCAGGTTCAGGAATATAGTTCAGTCCCTGGAGAGGCAGAGACATGCAGAAAGGCTGAGGCCCTTGTTTGTGGTTAAGTGGGTAGTCTCGGCAGTTCCTCATTTAAACTGGGAACTAAGCAACCAGCCAGCCACTGCCACAGGCCTCCATCCAACCCATTTCCGGCCATGGTCCTAGTCCCGAAGGGCCCCTAGTCACTGGCCTTTTCCAGGGTCTCTGCAGGGGCTTCCCCATTTGGGGGTAGGACCATTACTCCTCAAGGGACAGTGCTTGTGGGAACAAGCCAGGCTGTTAGATGCTTGTCCTGAAAGCATCCTATCACTGAACTGGGGAGGGACGGACAGAGAACAGGAAGGGTGGGGCTGCCCACAGCAGATTAGGACTCCAAAGGACGAGCGACGCTGACAAAGGCACCGCCATTCTCTCTTCTCTAGCTCAACAGCCCCTTTACAGACAAGGAAATGGGAGTTCCAAGTCTTCAGCTTTTCTAACTCAAGGGAGGTAGTGAGTGTCAGAGCAGGACTGGAACCCAGGTCTCTGGAGTCCACTGCTTCTGCTCAGCACTCGTCTTAAACAGTTTACAAAATAATCAGTGTTGGACGAACCCAGCAGCCCCTAGGTGTTGGGGGGTGAGGCCAAGCAGTGTCAGAATGTAATATAATGTAAGAAGAGGCTTCATTTGCGAGGCACAGAAGAGACCTTGGAACACTTGACCACTAAACTTTTGGGGGCTTCATGCCTTACCCTTTATGGGGTTCTGAGTCCCAGGTGGAAAACAGGGACAATGACACGAAGAGGTGTCAATCAGGAAATGGAGGAACGAGGTAGGGCAAGGTGCTGCCTAGCTCGCCCATTCCCCAAGGTCAAGGCAAGTCCAATGTGGAGCCCCAGGAACAGAGGCCGGGGTGGGGAACTGCAGGGCCCTGGATTGCTGATTGCGGGGGTGGGGGAGTGTGGGCGGGGCGGAATTTAAGTTCTAGGACTCCTTGAACTTCCAAGTGTTACCTAGCTTGTAACCCAGGCTGGGCATCTGCCTCGCCTCTGTTCCCCTCCTGGAGGGAGGACCGGGTGGAGGTCTTCACTGCAGCCTGGATGGAAGCACGTTTAGGTTAAAGTGCTTTGTCTGCCACTGTCAGGGGAATTTCCACTCACTTTCCCCTCTTCATGGCAAGAGAGCCCCAGCCTCTTCCAAGTGCCTCTTTTTCTTCTCTCCCCGGCCTTGCTTCCCAGGTAAGCCTCCTTCCCACCCTTTCCCCTCCATCAGACAGGCATCTGGCTTCACATACAGTTCCTCCTGCCTCCTTTCAGTCCGTCTCTGCACAGCCATCCCTTCCAGAGACTTCCAAAGCAGAATGGCCTCCATGGAAGTCAGGTTCTCCACCAGCAGGATGGCTACAGGAAATGAAAGGGCACCTCCTAGCATCCTGGCCTTGGGTAACCTGTGGTCTACTGGAGGTAAGGAAGCTAGCGCTGGGAGACCATTTAGAAACCAGATGCAATCAGATAGGTCTTGAGGGGCTCCCCATAAACTCAGGGAATAAAGCAATTTTAGGGAAAACAGTTGGTAGAGAGATAGGGTAGCCGACCTGGACTTGATCCCCATAGAAATATTACTAATATGCCGACTCACCTTGGGGGACTCCATTTTTCTTCACCTGTAATTGGAAAAAGAGGGCAAGACAGGACTAAGCAGCCTCTGAGCCAGGGCTACTTCACTCATGCCAAGTCAACCTTCCCATCCCTGTGTCTCTGGTAGCCTGTGTCGCTGGGGTTCTGTGCTGGGGGAAACCTGTGTGTGAAGCCAGTGTTCCTTAGAGAAAGGAACATGTCTTCATAGGGGGGTTGCATTGTGCCCAGAGAAGGCCAAGGGGGTGGGGGGAGTAGGTCCCACTTCCTGGCTCAACCACCTACTGTTTTTTGAACAACCAACTTCCTCTCTCTCTAAGCCCTGGTTCTCACCTGATAAAGCAGGCAGGCCTGGCTTTGAGATAGGACCAGTCAGCGGTCAGCTGTCCTGGCTAGCGTTAGTGAAGCACACACGTAAGTTCTAAGTGTGTGGAGTGTGTACGAGAGGCCTTTATTCTGGTCTAGGATTTGGGTATACCAGGACTAGAGGAAGAACAACCCTAGGAAAAAAAGAATGAGAGAGAGAGAGAGAGAGAGAGAGAGAGAGAGAGAGAGAGAGAGAGAGAGAGAGAGAGAGAGAAACTCTGAAGAGCTAGCCAATTGGAAGACTCCACCCTATGTATACAAAGAACAACTTAACAGAGAAAGACAAATGGTGGAGCCCCAGGCACTTGCCTTCATAAAGAGAAAAAGCAACTGAAATGGCCATGGACAGAGCCACATTTTCCTGCAAGCTCGTTCAGCCAACTTTGGAGCCTCCTTTTTGCAAGCCTTGGACAAGGCCAAGTTGCCACACCTGATCACAGCTCATCTGACTGCCTCCTGTCCAGTCCCCCCGGGGGTGTATCCATCTGCCCTGACTCCATCTCCCTCTGCCAGTAGGGCACTACGTCCGAAAGGCTCCCAGAACTCAGACCACCTGGGCCACCAGACTGCCACCATCAGTTCTAGGTTTTGAATGGATGATGAGTGTTCTCACACTACATGTTTAATACATGTGCTGGGTGTGACAGGAGCCACCATGCTCCTCCTGGGTCATCCTTTGGGGGAAGGATGTGTTGCCACAGTGACTGGAGGCGTGTCTGCTCAGCTGTCTTCCTCTTCAGAAATGGCCTTAGCTGTAGGGAGGAGCTGTTCCTAGAATATCTATCACCTCTTCTCAGGGAGTACAGCTTCAAGGCCTGAAGGCTGTGAGCACAGAGAAGCCATCTTGGTCCAGCATGGCAAGATTCTAGCTGCAGAATTCTCAACGGCATCCCTTTGTCCCATGCTGTATCTTTGCTCCCTAACCTAAGCCCCTCCCTCCGAGAGTCTGCTCCCCAGGACCCCCGCCTGTGACAGGGCCCCTGCTTAAGAGTTGGATAAAACATCAATAATGGCAACCGCCATTTAGAGATGGCTCCTTCCCAGCCACATACTGAGAAATACACTTGATATCCATTATCATGATGGCCTCTCCCACTTGAAAGAGAAAGGACCTGGGTAGAAACAGCTTAAGGAAAAGTAGAGACTTGGTCTAGGTAGCTCATGGAGCTGCGAGGGAACCAGTGTTCCAGCATCAGGAACCCGGGGCCCCCATGGGCTTTCGTAGGTTGGTTCCTTCTGGAAGCTCTGAGGAAAGACCACGCCCTGCTTCTCTCCTAGCTTCTGGCTGGGATCAGCACTTTGTGAGTGTCTGACTGGCACACACACCAACCCAGCCTCTGCTCTGTCATCACGGGGCTGTCCCCTTTGTCCTTGTGTCTAAAATTCTCTCACAGAGACTTTAGGCATTCACTTAGAGCCATTTTAGCTTCCTGCAACTTACCCATCTGGTTCCCAGGGCTGTTTTCCTAGCACATGAATGCAAAGCATTTTGAGAATGCTGCCCCCCCACCCCTCCCCTGCCGCTGCTGAAATCCTGTAGTCAGCAAGCCCTTGTGAAGGAGTGGGGCTGATGGAGGTGTCGGGCTGTGTCTCGCAGGTAGGAGAGGCAGGACAAGGCCTGGAAGCAGGGGCTTAGAACCTGAAAGGCCCAAGCCCTTTGGCTTGAAGTCTGAGGAGAAAGAGAGGCTACCCTACAAGGCCCAAAGGTTTTCTGTTGTTTCCAACGGCCATTGAGAGTCACTGACCCTCTGACTCAAGACACTTCACTGCTTACTGTCTAGAAGAGGAGTGA